CACTGTAACTTTGCTGGAGTACTGCATCTGCTTTTTACTTATTTGCCTCAGGTACTTTAATTCTGGTCGGCCGACGCTAATGCACCAGCTCAGGAAATTTCTTTTAAAGGCCTTCATAGATAGCGGATGAGGAAATCTCTGAGAATTAGTGAACAGTGTTGCAATGGCTACTGGGAGTATATCGTCGTGTCAGGGACGTTTTTAGAAGAAATTAGAACGGGATATCATTCCGCCGTGTCCTATTAGCAAAACTAAACGATCAAGGCGCAATGGCAAGTGCCACTGTTCTTTGGCTGCTGAGGGTCCGAAGCGGAGTTCCGCTTCATCGACTGGGATAATCGCTGCTCCCCTGCGTTCATTGGTAAATTGCTGTTGGCGCATGCTTGGGATCGAACCGGCATTAGCTTGTTTCTGGGCGATCCTCGAAAGAGAGAGAGAGAGCGACGCGAGATACCACTCGGGCTGCTCTGTCGCAGTTGTGCATGAGTATGTGTTCACATTTTGACTTGTCTAATCCAATATGATCTGTTATCGAGAGATCAGTTGCCAGTTTCTTGAACGTATGTGAATATTCTGCAACGATTTACAGGACCGTCTTCTTTTTTTCTCGAATTGTCTCTTGCTTTTCGGTTCCAAAATGTCTATTATGAGCTATAATGGAGGCACAATTCTGGCAATGGCCGGAAACGGGTGCGTTTGTATTGCGTCGGATTTACGAATCGGAGAACAAATGACAACAATTGCCACAAACATAAAAAAGGTGTGTTTTTAGTAAGAAAACCTCTTGATGTTTTTATGAAAAAAAGTCCAAGGATTGGTGTAGTGCTGCTGTTCTGGGAAACACAGGGAATCAGCCGTGGCGTAGAATGCAGCTGCTTAGGAAGAATCCAGAATCTAGAAAGGGAATCTAACAAAGTACGGATAAACGGGAGAGGGCGATTTTGAATAGAAAGTGCTGGTTATTCGGATGTTTTTTTTTTCTTTTTAAAGCACAGTTTTCTGTTTCAGGTGCACAAATTGGGTGACAAAGTGTACATTGGTTTGGGTGGTTTTCATTCGGATGCAGAGACTGTTCTGGAAAAAATCACTTTCCGCAAGAATCTCTATGAACTGAGAGAGAACAGAAAGATAAAGCCTGAGGTAAGCAGCTGTACGCAACTCTGCCAACGCTAGCGGTTGCTAAAAAAGGCAGAGTCTTTTTGAGGGGGAAAAAAAGGACTTTTTTTCGTCGGTTGCAATTGGTCCTGAATCGTGAACATTTTGAAGGGTGGAGTAGCTGAGGTTCGTTGCGATACATGTCAGGAAAGACAGCGCCTACTGATTCTACACCGTGGATTTCTGGATGGAAGAGTATGAGTGATTTTGGCTACGGAGTTCGCATTGCAGCCTCGTTGAATTTGGTTGGGTTCTCTGCTGTTCCCTGGCTGCGCTCTCTTTTCTGACTTAGTTAATTTTCACCATTTTACAACATCACAATAGTGCTGCACGCTAGGCACGCGCATTTTACAATATCACGTTTCTGTTAATGGCAGTTTAGCTTTCGTTTGTTTTTCGGTAAATGGCTGGAGATCGTGTGAAGTTGAA